GTTTTAACTATTCTGAGCCTTGGTTGCACAGTGGGTTACACCTTTGGCTGCTAACTGTGAGATCAGCAGTTTGAAACCACCAGCTGCTCCCCAGGAGAAAGATGAGGCTTTCTATTAATCTCAGAAACCTGCAGTTCGACCCTGCCCTATAGGGTCACTGGGAGCCAGAATCAGCTCAATGGCAGTGAGGTTAGGGTTTTAACTTTCTCCCAAATTCACATTTGCTTCATCGATAGAGTTCATTTTCTCCATGAACGAATATACTGTAACTCTGTCTCAATCAAAAATTGAAAGCCACAAGTTGGTACATATCTAAACTGATAATCTAGTTCAGAATTTAGAATTAGTGAGTGGCTTGATTTTAGGATTCCACAAAACTTAGCAGTTCACAGGATGAATAAAGCCTTCCAGAGTCCTGAACAGATACCTAGAAGTTTTAAGCAGAAATAGCAAAGTCTGACCCCTGGGAACTTAAGAATGTAGGATATTTGGGAAGGCCCATGCATAACTAACTGGATGGTAATGACTAAAGTGCATGATAATCCAAATACTATCTTGTCTCTTGGCTACCAAAGGAGTCTTAGAATTGTATTTGTGGTTTTTTTCCCTACCCAGGGGAGCTTTGTTGCATGCATGATTTCCATTCTGCGGCAAATGGATGACAGCCACTACAGCCACTACATCAACACTTTCAAGACCACACAAGACATCATTGTAAGTCACCTTCATTGGGTCTTTATAACCTCACATCAGCAAAAGGGTTATCACCAACGAAATGAGCCAGCTGGGTGGGGGATGTCTCTTCCCACCCACCTTCAGTGCCAAGTGTCTCTCTCTACCATAATTGGAAAATGGATTTGAAGAAGGCTATACCATACATGCAGTAAAAATTTATCAGGCAACCCCCAATCTCTTTTGGACCTGGAGCCCTTATTTAAAATCATTTGGGAAATCTCCCCCCCCCCCCCTTTATTTTTTCTTCTGTGTGAGTAGAAGACAAGATTTCCTTTGAAGGGCAATAGTTACTTGTGCCAGGCAAGGCTTTTAGAAAGTCTTCTACGTGGTGGTGGAAGCTGCCAGAAGGAGCCCCAGTGTCACAGTGGTTCAAACACTCGGCTGCTCACTGCAAGGTCAGGTTTGAATGCGACAGCTTGTCTGCGGGAGAATGGTGTGGCTGTTGGTGTCCATAAAGGTCCCAGCCGAGGAAACCCTTTGGAGCAGTGCTACTCTGTCCTGCAGGATTAATGCCCGTCAGAACACCAGCAGTGAGTTTGGATACTTGTGCTGTGCAAAGGCTTTGGGAAGCAGAGGTCTTAAGAGTCTTGGACGATTTGTCTGAAACCACTATTTTCAATGTTCCCCAGAAAGAAAACAAGAGGTAGCCACTTCTCCTTACAGTGTTTGTAAGTTATCTTCAGCTGAAAACATTTCTTTGTCTTGTGCCTCATATAGGACCTTATTCTAGCAGTTGCTATTAAGCATAGGCTGAAATGCAGCCTAGAAAGCTGAGAGCCTTCCTGTGAGGGATCTGGCCATGAGGGTGGCATGGGATCCAGCAGGGCTGTGGGATGGACAGAGCAAGCTGATGCCACCTAGCACTGTTCTTGGCTCTGGATAAGTCCCCACCCCACTGTGGCCAGTCCAGTCATCCTCGGGCTTCAGAGTTCTGCCTGTCTGTATATTATCATGAGCGTGTGCAGCCAGCATACATGGAGAGCCAGCCCCTTCCCTGCCAATCACTCTTCCCGTCCATGAGGCCCACCTGATGGACACTAAACTGGAGAGAAAATCGTCCTTATTATTATTAGTTGGTCCAATGCTAAACTCGCCTAAGGGGGATTGGACCATGTGGCTTAAGGGGAAGATCTACAAAGGATTCCTACCTTCACAGCTGCATTTTGAGATCATGATACTCTCTGGCAGGCAGCGTGCCGCAGGGCCCTGTTGTAATAACCAGTACATTGCAGTGTGATTGAGGTGATGGAGTGTGCGCAGATGGGATTGAGAGGAGAAGGTGGGAGTTGGAATAGTTTCTCCTCTAGAGGAAGGTGCTAGCGTGAGCAAGGGCGCAGGCCTTAGAAGCACTCAGCGCAGCGCTGGTTTGAATTCTGACTGCCCCAGTTTGGGGTGTGAAATTTGGGGCATGTTGTTTAATCTTACGGAACTTCAGTTTCCTCACATGTGAAATCATACCTACTTTAAAGGTCAGCTTGATCACGATGTAACTGCTGCATGGAAATGCCAAGCTTTGTCCTGGGCACCTAGTTCAATGCCTGTGAAAAGCTGCCGCTTATAAAACTAACCCTACTTCTGTTCTTTTAATTGAATGTAAAACAAAGATAATGAGATTTCCATGGTGCATTAATTAATTTAGCTTTGCTTGGAAAGCAGGCAAAGTATGTGGCTCAAACTCGAATACTTCGCCTTCATTTTGCCAAAACGAGGGTGGGATCTGCCACATGCATGGCGGTCCGTCACAAAATTCATGGGGGGAAAATGAAATTCAAAAATAATTGGAGTTTTTCCATGAAACTGTTGAAGCCCTCTTGGTATTCTCTAACTCAGTGATTCTCAACCTTCCTCATGCCTCGACTTTCATACAGCTCCTCATGTTGTGGTGACCCCCCGACCATACAATTATTTTCATTGTTACTTCACCGTCATTTTGCTACTCTTATGAATCGGATGAAAGGGTTGTTAACCCCCAAAAGAGTCGAGACCCACAGGTTGAGAACCGCTGCTCTAACTAAGAACAGTTATTACCCCATGAGGAAGCCGAGGCCCAAAGAAATTAATTCCCTTCCTAAGCTGACAGCTCTCACTGGCCGAGCTGCAGGGGATGGTTTGGATTCTGGGAACCTGTCTCTCTTCTCTCTCATGCCGCCCTCGGAACGTCTCCTTCCAGACGTCCTGGTGGGGATGGAGTCCCCGACCGGGTGGCGGTCAGAGTGAGGGCTGAGATTCGCTGTGCATTTACTGCCATTGTTTGCAACACCTGAGAGGTCAAGTCGATGCATGGACAGTCAGCCCTAGATTCACAAACCAGTGGCTTTTTCGTGTTGCTTTTCTTTTTAAAAGGCTCACAGAATTGAACAGCACAAGAAAATAGTTGGCATTTCTTAAAATTTCATTTCTTATCATGAAACATTTTACGTTTTTCAAAGAAGTGTGTGATTTCAGAATTGAGGAGCTAGGTAAGTTCAACCCCATTGAACCAGAAGGGAGATTGAAGTGTGGCACAGACTTCGTGGCCAGACTACCTCCTAATTCCTGGACTAGTTCAGTGTCAAAAGTGCAGGGAGTTAAAGGTTTGAAGGTAAACAAGCGGCCATCTAGCTGAGAAGCAACAAAGCCCACATGGAAGAAGCACCCCAGCCTGTCTGATCATGAAGTGTCCATGGAATCAGGTATCAGGCATCAAAGACCCAGAACAAATAATCATATCAATGCGAATGAGTGGAGTGGAGACCCAAAGCCCATTTGTAGACAGTTGGACATCCCTTTACAAAGGGGTCACAAGGAAGAGATGAGCCAGTCAGGGTGCAGTATAGCACCTATGAAACATACAACTTTCCTCTAGTTCTTTAATGCTTCCCCCCCCCAACTATCATGACCCAAATTCTACCTTACAAATCAGGCTAGATCAGAGCACGTATAAGAACCAGAAACACAGGGAACGCAGGACAGATAAACCCCTCAAGACCAATAATGAGAGTAGCAATACCAGGAGGGGAAGGGGAAGGTGGGGAGAGAAAGGAGGAAACCGATCACAATGATCTATCTATAACCCTCTCCCAGGGGAACAGACAAAATAAAAATGGGTGAAGGGAGACAGCGGCCAGTGTAAGACATGAAAAAAAAATTAATAAATTATCAAGGATTCATCAGGGAGAGATGGATTGTGAGCGGGTAAAATCACCTGATAACCAGGGCCTCAAAGAGAAAAAAAATGTTTTGAAAATGATGATGGCAACAAATGTACAAATGTGCTTGACACAATGGATGTATGGGTGGATTGTGGTACGAGTTGTAAGAGCCCCCAATAAAATGATTTATTTTAAAAAAAGCACAGGGAGTTAACTAGCTTTTCCAAAATTCTGTGGAAATATCATTAAAAATAAGGTCAAGACCACCTGCCTCCCAGTGCCATGCTTCACGACTACGGCATCTCATTCCTAAGGTGTCAACTGCTTCGTTTAGTGCCCGAGAAATTCTATTTTCATCTCAAGCATCCCAAGGGAAATAGCCAAAATTTAGTAAACTAATAAAGTTTTCAAAATTTTTAGATCTTTGATACATGACTTGATTTTTTTTTCCACTTCTGAATTACTTTTTGCCCATAGCCCCCTTTTTAAGTAAAATTGCTGATTTTTCTATATAGTCTTGGGTGCTAATGTTCTTAATGATTGCAGTCATCGCAATACATTGTTAATTGCACTGTTTAGGCCCCTTCCTTATTCAGGGGATTTCGTGTAAAATCCTAGACTAGGAAGAAGCAGGACTTTTGTACCCGCAGCCCAGTTATCTGTTCTAGCAATGGGGATGGAGAGCTGGGGTCATGTTTAGGCCATCTGTGTCCTCAGAGTCTGTTGCTAAGTTCTTTCAAATATGGAGTGGATACGTTCAGGTATCACCGTCAGCAGGGAGCAGATGTGGACCCTAAACTTGAGGTCCAAACACCTGGCTGCGTACCCTAACCGTTCTGCTTCCTCGTTCCTGTGCCGATAGCTGAATCCTGTACTTTTCCTCCGCCTCCGTTTAAATTGCTCATAAAACGCAGATGGTTGCGTTGTATCCTTCTCTTCCCCGCAGGCTCATGAGAGGTGGTGACGGTTGTGAGAATGGGTTCTCTCTAAGGTCTCTATCATGGAGTTAGCTGGTGCTGGGAGGTTAGAGAAGGCTTGTCCTGGTACCTTGGTCCTCCAGGTACAGGTGCTGGAGGAAGGCTCATCAGTGTGGCCCGGTTCTTCACCCATTCTTCCTTTGTTCTCTGTAGGACTTCCTCATGGAAACCTTTATTATGTTCAAGGATCTAATTGGAAAGAATGTTTATGCCAAAGATTGGATGGTCATGAATATGACGCAGAACAGGTAAGCTAGCCCGCCCGCGCCTGCCCCTGAGGCGTCCCAGCACCTGGATCTGTCGACCAGTCATGGGTGCTTTGTGAAGGGATACCTGGCCTCAAGTCCGTCACCTGCAACTTAAGGATCTTCCCAGTGCCAGGATCCTGTGCTTGTGGTCAGGGTCCTGGTGCCCCCCGAGCTATTCTCTTGTTTCAACTCAAGCTCTTTCCTCATTCTCTCGAGACTGCCCTCCTCACTGCCTGCCCACAGACCGTCCTCAGCACCAGCTCCGCCCTGCGCGTCCACGTGGCTCCTTCACCTGGCATCCAGGGCCCCTGCAGCCTGGCCCGCAGCCTTTCTAGCCTTGTCTGCCACGCTTGCTCTTGCGCCTGCATTCTCACCAAACGGACCTCTTCCCTGCTTCCAAACATGTCCCCTGCTGCCCCACACGCCACTTCTCCACTCCACCACCTCCACCCATCAGCATTCTCCCCAATCCTTAATGCCATCACTCAAGGGCCATCTCTGAAGGAAGTCTTCCTAACCTGGACGCCATCCTCACTCCCACTCATCCCCCAGACGTCTTTGACGCCTTCACATAAAATGTTCCATGTTCGCGTAGTAAACTCCACCCATCGAGTTGTAAACGTGTTAGACTAGAAAGCATGTAGTGTCTTTGGTCACACCGCCCGAGCCAGCCCTTTGCAGTAGCTGGCCTGCAGCAAATCCTTGTTGAGTGGAAATGAAATGAACTGGAATGATATGAGATTGAAAGAGTTTTC